TGGGGAGCAACCCAGCAGCCTTTCTACTCCCCCAGCTCTGCTCAACAGCTTAAGACAGACAGAACAGGTGCGGTCCCGCAGGAGCAAGGCAGCCGAGCCTCACGCTGGTTGCAATGGGAGCTCAGCAGCTTGCAGGATCAGGACCATTGTAATTAGCTGAGCTGGGACGCCGGGATTAATTCTCCGCAGGCTTAGAAAAGAGCCTCCCGAAGAGACAAGCCTGGGTCTTGCAGCTGAAAGATAGAGCCTCCAGCAGCCCAGCGCCCCACCATGGGGGGCAGCAGCACAGCACCTACACAGGGGAGCGCACGCCCTGCCGAGCCCCCCCCCCCCCCCCAGAGCCCCCCGCCGAGCCCCCGCCCCGCTCCCCAAAGCCCCCCGCCCCCTGCCGAGCCCCCGCCCCGCTCCCCACGCCCCCTGCAGAGCCCCCGCCCCGCTCCCCAGAGCCCTGTGCCCCCTGCCGAGCCCCCCAAAGCCCCCCGCCCCCTGCCGAGCCCCCACCCCGCTCCCCAGAGCCCCGCGCCCCTTGCCGAGCCCCCACCCCACTCCCCAGAGCCCCGCGCTCCCTGCCGAGCCCCCGCCCCGCTACCCAGAGCCCCGTGCCCCCTGCAGAGCCCCCGTCCCGCTCCCCAGAGCCCCGTGCCCCCTGCAGAGCCCCCGCCCCGCTCCCCATGGCCCCACGCCCCCTGCCGAGCCCCCGCCCCGCTCCCCATGGCCCCATGCCCCCTGCAGAGCCCCCGCCCCACTCCCCAGAGCCCCGTGCCCCCTGCCGAGCCCCCGCCCTGCTCCCCATGGCCCAGCGCCCCACCATGTGGGGCAACAGCACAGCACCTACAGAGGGGAGCGCATCCCCTGCCGAGCCCCCACCCCGCTCCCCAGAGCCCTGTGCCCCCTGCCGAGACCCCGCCCCCTGCCGAGACCCCCAGAGCCCCGTGCCCCCTGCCGAGACCCCCAGAGCCCCGCGCCCCCTGCCGAGCCCCCGCCCTGCTCCCCAGAGCCCCGCGCCCCCTGCCGAGTCCCCGCCCCCTGCCGAGCCCCCCAGAGCCCCGCGCCCCCTGCCGAGCCCCCCACCCCGCTCCCCCAGAGCCCCGCGCCCCCCTGCCGAGCCCCCCCCCCGCTCCCCAGAGCCCCGCGCCCCCTGCCGAGCCCCCGCCCCCTGCCGAGCCCCCCAGAGCCCCGCGCCCCCTGCCGAGCCCCCGCCCCGCTCCCCAGAGCCCCGCGCCCCCTGCCCCCCCCCCCCCAGAGCCCCGCGCCCCCTGCCGAGCCCCCGCCCCCTGCCGAGACCCCCAGAGCCCCGCCCCCCCCCCGGCCCCCCCCCGCCCCCCAGAGCCCCGCGCCCCCTGCCGAGCCCCCGCCCCACTCCCCAGAGCCCTGTGCCCCCTGCCGAGCCCCCGCCCCCACTCCCCAGAGCCCCGCGCCACCTGCCGAGCCCCCGCCCCTGCCGGCCCCCAGAGCCCCGCCCCCCTGCCGAGCCCCCCCCCCTGCCGAGACCCCCAGAGCCCCGCGCCCCCTGCCGAGTCCCCGCCCCACTCCCCAGAGCCCTGTGCCCCCTGCCGAGTCCCCGCCCCACTCCCCAGAGCCCTGTGCCCCCTGCCGAGTCCCCCAGAGCCCTGTGCCCCCTGCCGAGACCCCCAGAGCCTCGCGCCCCCTGCCGAGCCCCCGCCCCACTCCCCAGAGCCCTGTGCCCCCTGCCGAGACCCCCAGAGCCCCGCGCCCCCTGCCGAGCCCCCGCCCCGCTTCCCAGAGCCCCCCGCCCCCTGCGGCCCCCCCCCCACTCCCCCCCCCCCCCCCCCCCCCCCCCCCCCCCCCCCGAGACCCGCCCCCTTCCCAGACCCCCCCCCCGCCGAGCCCCCACCCCACTCCCCCCCCCCCCCCCCCCCCCCCCCCACTCCCCCCCCCCCCCCTCCGCCCCCCCCCACCCCCGCCCCCCTCCCTGCCGCCCCCCCCCCCTCCCCGGCCCCCCCCCCCGCCCCCCCCCACCCCCCCCCCCCCCCCGCCCCCCCCCCTCCCCAGAGCCCCCCCCCTCCGGCCCCCGCCCCGCTCCCCAGCCCCCCCCCCTCCGCCCCCCCCCCTCGACCCCCAGAGCCCCCCCCCCTGCCGAGCCCCCGCCCCCTCCCCGAGCCCCCCCCCTGCCGCCCCCGCCCCCTCCCCAGAGCCCTGTGCCCCCTGCCGGCCCCCGCCCCCTCCCCAGACCCCGCGCCCCCTGCCGAGCCCCCGCCCCCTCCGGACCCCCAGAGCCCCCCCACCTGCCGTCCCCCCCCACTCCCCAGACCCTGTCCCCCTCCGGTCCCCGCCCCACCCCCAGACCCTGTGCCCCCTGCCGAGTCCCCCAGCCCTGTGCCCCTGCCGAGACCCCCAGAGCCTCCCCCCCTGCCGACCCCCCCCCCACTCCCCAGACCCTTCCCCCTCCGAGACCCCCAGAGCCCCCGCCCCCTGCCGAGACCCCGCCCCGCTTCCCAGAGCCCCCCGCCCCCTGCCGAGCCCCCACCCCACTCCCCGGAGCCCCGCGCCCCCTGCCGAGCCCCCGCCCCACTCCCCGGAGCCCCGCGCCCCCTGCCGAGCCCCCGCCCCACTCCCCACCCCCCCCCCTGCCGAGACCCCCCCCCTTCCCAGACCCCCCCCCCTGCCGAGCCCCCACCCCGCTTCCCAGACCCCCGCCCCCTGCCGAGACCCCCCCCCTTCCCAGACCCCCGCCCCCTGCCGCCCCCACCCCCTCCCCAGAGCCCCCCCCCCTCCGACCCCCCCCCACTCCCCAGAGCCCTGTCCCCCTCCAAGCCCCCGCCCCACTCCCCAGAGCCCCGCGCCCCCTGCCGAGCCCCCGCCCCACTCCCCAGAGCCCCGTGCCCCCTGCCGAGCCCCCGCCCCACTCCCCGGAGCCCCGCGCTCCCTGCCGTGGGTCATTGCGGCCAAGGCGCCCCCTGCAGCCCCCGCCCCATTCCCAGCCTTTGTTCTGGCCTCAGCCCCCGTCCCTTTGGGCGCCGGCTGCCGGGGGGAGCCCGGGGTCCCCCCCGCAGCACAGAGCCGCCCCCTCCCCTTACCCGGCAGCAGCGACCCACCGCCAGGGCCTGCGGATCCCGCCCTCGCCCTGCCAGTAGTAAAGATGGCCGCATCTCCCATTGTTTGCAAGGGGCTCGACGTCCATTGCCCTCTCTCAAAATGGCCGCCCCGTTCGCCTCTTCGGGTTGGGGGAAGGCACCGCAGAGGCGATGGACAGCTCCCTTCTCCGGGGTGGGGCCTGCCTGAGGGGAGCGCGGACCGACCCCCCCAACTGCCTCTCCAGCCCCCCCCCAACTGCCTCTCCAGCCCCCCCCCCAGGGGAGCGCGGACCGACCCCCCCCAACTGCCTCTCCAGCCCCCCCCGAGGGGAGCGCGGACCGACCCCCCAACTGCCTCTCCAGCCCCCCCCCGAGGGGAGCGCGGACCGACCTCCCCCCAACTGCCTCTCCAGCCCCCCCCCCGAGGGGAGCGCGGACCGACCCCCCCCAACTGCCTCTCCAGCCCCCCCCCGAGGGGAGCGCGGACCGACCCCCCCAACTGCCTCTCCCCCCGAGCGGGCCCCCCCCCCACTGCCTCTCCAGCCCCCCCCCCCGAGGGGAGCGCGGACCGACCCCCCCCAACTGCCTCTCCAGCCCCCCCCCCGAGGGGAGCGCGGACCGACCCCCCCCAACTGCCTCTCCAGCCCCCCCCCGAGGGGAGCGGCGGACCGACCCCCCCAACTGCCTCTCCAGCCCCCCCCGAGGGGAGGCGGACCGACCTCCCCCCAACTGCCTCTCCAGCCCCCCCCCCCAGGGGAGCGCGGACCGACCCCCCCCAACTGCCTCTCCAGCCCCCCCCCCGAGGGGAGCGCGGACCGACCTCCCCCCAACTGCCTCTCCAGCCCCCCCCGAGGGGAGGCGCGGACCGACCCCCCCCAACTGCCTCTCCAGCCCCCCCCCCGAGGGGAGCGCGGACCGACCTCCCCCCAACTGCCTCTCCAGCCCCCCCCCGAGGGGAGCGCGGACCGACCCCCCCAACTGCCTCTCCAGCCCCCCCCCGAGGGGAGCGCGGACCGACCCCCCCAACTGCCTCTCCAGCCCCCCCCCGAGGGGAGGGCGGACCGACCCCCCCAACTGCCTCTCCAGCCCCCCCCCGAGGGGGAGCGGCGGACCGACCCCCCCCAACTGCCTCTCCAGCCCCCCCCCGAGGGGGAGCGCGGACCGACCCCCCCAACTGCCTCTCCAGCCCCCCCCCGAGGGGAGCGCGGACCGACCCCCCCAACTGCCTCTCCAGCCCCCCCCCGAGGGGAGCGCGGACCGACCCCCCCCCCCAACTGCCTCTCCAGCCCCCCCCGAGGGGGAGGCGGGACCGACCCCCCCAACTGCCTCTCCAGCCCCCCCCCGAGGGGAGGCGCGGACCGACCCCCAACTGCCTCTCCAGCCCCCCCCCCGAGGGGAGCGCGGACCGTCCTCCCCCCAACTGCCTCTCCAGCCCCCCCCCGAGGGGAGCGCGGACCGACCCCCCCAACTGCCTCTCCAGCCCCCCCCCGAGGGGAGCGCGGACCGACCCCCCCAACTGCCTCTCCAGCCCCCTCCCGAGGGGAGCGGGACCGACCTCCCCCCAACTGCCTCTCCAGCCCCCCCCCGAGGGGAGCGCGGACCGACCCCCCAACTGCCTCTCCAGCCCCCCCCGAGGGGAGCGCGGACCGACCCCCCCCAACTGCCTCTCCAGCCCCCCCCCCCGAGGGGAGCGCGGACCGACCCCCCCAACTGCCTCTCCAGCCCCCCCCCTGAGGGGAGCGCGGACCAACCCCCCCTGAAACGGCCTCTCCAGCCCCCCCCCGAGGGGGAGCGCGGACCGACCCCCCCCAACTGCCTCTCCAGCCTCCCCCCCCGAGGGGAGCGCGGACCGACCCCCCAACTGCCTCTCCAGCCCCCCCCCCGAGGGGAGCGCGGACCGACACCCCCCCATCTGCCTCTCGTCTCCCGCCTGAGGGGAGCGCGGGCTCACCCCTGGCAGTTGTGGGATCAGGGTCCCGGGTAGGTGCTCGATGGGCCCTGTTGCCATGAGCTTGTGGGGCTGGCAGTGATGCAGGGCCAGGCTGTCTGCCCAGTGCCCGCCCCAAACAGCCAAACGGCCATAACTCCAGGTGCCCAGGTGAGGCTAGGTCAGGAGAGGATCCCCCTCCTGGGCTGGGTCTGAGAGCTGCCAGAGCCAGGGGCAGCTCTCAGACCCAGCCCACTCCACCCCTCTCTCCTGGATTAGCGAGACCCCCAAATCCAGGACCCCTTCACCTGCTGCTGGTCGTGCCTCTACCACCCCACCCCAGACACACACCCCCGCCCGGCCTGGCCTCCCTCTGTCCCCACTGCCCCCCAGGGCAGGAGAATGGAGGCAGACTGGCTGCCCTGTCACTGCTCCGGCCCAGGGGTACAGACGACACAGGTGTATGTCTCCTCTTCCAGAGGGCTGAGGGCAAGGTTCAGGGAAGGCCAAGCTGGCTGCACCGCTCTGGCCCCTGGTTGCTTGACTGGGTCTTACGCACCCTTGGGGCCATCTCGAGTGGTTTCTCCCTGTGTGCCAGCCCTGCAGCGCAGTCTCAGGCCTCGGGGAGCCCCCACTAGCCGTGCCCGCCAGGCTGGGACAGGCCAGTCCATGCTGGGGGAAGATAAGGGGCTTAGTGCCATGTTTTATTTATTTCTGTTCTTGGAGCCTCTGCTCTGCTGTCACAACGCCTGTTTTCCTTAAAGCCCCAGCTCCTTGAGTCACGTGGATCTCTGATGATTTCAGCCTTCATTCTTAAAGAACAAGTAAGTTTCTACCCCTCCTGGCTGTAAAGAAAGCTTCAAAATGTGACCCCCGTGCACCCTAAGGGCTCAACAAACAAAAGGCAAATCAAAAGAATGCCAAATCTATTATTTTTTACGGAATCTCCCGCTTTTAAAGCCAATCTCGTGAGTTTTGGTGAGCCTGACTCATGATTTTTGACCGTTTGGGGTTGGCAATACTGCCATTAATTAGAGCTCTCACCCAGGATCAGTTTCCCCCTCCATCGGAGGAGGAGAAAGGCTTTGAACAGGGCTGTCCCAAGCATGCCCTAACCACTGAGCTATGGCCTGATGTGGGGCTCCGACCGTCTCTCCTGTGATGCTTTTCCACTGTGGATAAATAATGACCCAGCTACTAGAGCGGGGGGCTGGACCCTGGGTCTAACTCAGCCCAGGGGTGTGCTCTGAGCACTGGACTACATACAGAGTCACTCTGTCTCCGACCCAGTGACAATTAAGCATTTATCCATAGTGGAACAGTCACTGGGCTAGAGCGAGAGAATGAATTAATGACTAGTCCAATGAGCCCCCCTTACCAAGTGCTCCAGCTCGGTCTGTATAACTGACATGTGCCCATCATGACTGACCACTCTGCCAATGTCTGTGGCATCACCTGCAAATGTTACCAGCAAAGGTTTTCTCTGTTCTTCCAGAAGCTTGAGAAAGGTATTGAATAGCATTGGGACAAACCAGATCCCAGGAGAAACACCCCCAAGGACGATGATTCTCGTTTGCTATTACATTTGTGATCTCTCAGGTAGCCAACTTTTAATACATTTGATACGGGTAACATGGATTTTGTATAGTGCTAGCTTTTTTAACAAAATGTCATATGGGATTCAGACAAAAGCCATGCAGAGGTCATAGCTACATTATGTCATCAGTTATCTTTGTCAACCAAACTTGTAATCTCATCAAAAAGTGATGTAAAATGTGTGTGACAAGACCTGTGTTCCATAAAACCATGTTGATTGCCCTTAGTCACGCTGCCATCCTTTCAGTCTTTGCTGACTGCATCCCAGAGCAGCTTTGCCAGGACTTTGCCCAGCATCGTAGTCAGGCTAACTGGTCTAGAGTCACTCAGCTCATCCAGTTTGGCGTCATTTAAATTTTTTAAATATTTGCACAACAATAGCATTTTTCCCAGTCCTCTGGAACTTCCTGGGTAGTCCATAGTTGTTAAAAATCAACGTCAGTGGTTCAGAGAGCTCCTCAACCCATTTTTTTCATATGCTTGGGTGTGAGTTATCCCGTCCCACCAATTAAAAAATTAACTTTAGCTGTTGCTGTTTAACAACCTGCAGGATTCCTGATGGAATAGAAGGAAGTTGTCCTTATCACTATGAGGTACGAATACGTCATCACGCTTCATTGCCTTCCAACCCTGATATTCTATGATTCTATGATTCCAAATACAGAACAGAAATATTGATTCAATACCTCTGCCTTTTCTGCATCAGGATTGTCTATTTTAGCATCCTGACCTAGTACTGGACTTATACCATTGTTAGGATTTAATTTGTTTCTGGTATACCTAATGAATTCCTTCTTTTTGTCCTTAACTGCACTGGCCATAGATTTTTTTCACTGCTATGCTGAGCTTCCCTTATCAATTATCTGCATTTTCTTAACAATTGGTTTGTACTCATTGCTATCAAATTCCCCATTTTTCCATTTGTTATATATTATGTTTTTATTTTTAATTGCTAATTTGACTTCCCCTCTTAACTAGGATGTTACTCTTTTTTAACTGAAGAAGCCTTCATACATAATTGCAGAACTGTGGGGAGTATTTAGCATCTAATAAAGCATTCCTAAGAAGCTCCCAATTATCACTCAGCCCTCTTCACACCCCGTATGCCCATTGTCTTGAAGCCTGCAGTGTCATAGAATCATAGAATATCAGGGTTGGAAGAGGACCTCAGGAGGTCATCTAGTCCAACCTCCTACTCAGAGCAGGACCAACCCCAACTAAGGGTATGTCTACACTACGGAATAAGGTCGAATTTATAGAAGTCGGTTTTTTAGAAATCGGTTTTATATATTCGAGTGTGTGTGTCCCCACAGAAAATGCTCTAAGTGCATTAAGTGCATTAACTCGGCGGAGCGCTTCCACAGTACTGAGGCTAGAGTCGACTTCCGGAGCGTTGCACTGTGGGTAGCTATCCCACAGTTCCCGCAGTCTCCGCTGCCCATTGGAATTCTGGGTTGAGATCCCAATGCCTGATGGGGCTAAAACATTGTCGCGGGTGGTTCTGGGTACATATCGTCAGGCCCCTGTTCCCTCCCTCCCTCCGTGAAAGCAAGGGCAGACAATCGTTTCGCGCCTTTTTTCCTGAGTTACCTGTGCAGACGCCATACCACGGCAAGCATGGAGCCCGCTCAGGTAACCGTCACCCTATGTCTCCTGGGTGCTGGCAGACGCGGTATGGCTTTGCTGCACAGTAGCAGCAACCCATTGCCTTCTGGCAGCAGACGGTGCAATACGACTGGTAGTCGTCCTCGTTGTGTCCGAGGTGCTCCTGGCCACGTCGGCTGGGAGCGCCTGGGCAGACATGGGCGCAGGGACTAAATTTGGAGTGACTTGACCAGGTCATTCTCTTTAGTCCTGCAGTCAGTCCTATTGAACCGTCTTATGGTGAGCGGGCAGGCGATACAGACTGCTAGCAGTCGTACTGTACCATCTTCTGCCGGGCAGGCAAGAGATGAGGATTGCTAGCAGTCGTATTGTACCATCTTCTGCCAGGCAGGCAAGAAATGAGGATGGCTAGCAGTCGTACTGTACCATCTTCTGCCGAGCAGCCATGAGATGTGGATGGCATGCAGTCCTTCTGCACCGTCTGCTGCCAGCCAAAGATGTAAAAGATAGATGGAGTGGGTCAAAACAAGAAATAGACCAGATTTGTTTTGTACTCATTTGCCTCCTCCCCTGTCTAGGGGACTCATTCCTCTAGGTCACACTGCAGTCACTCACAGAGAAGGTGCAGCGAGGTAAATCTAGCCATATATCAATCAGAGGCCAGGCTAACCTCCTTGTTCCAATAAGAACGATAACTTAGGTGCACCATTTCTTATTGGAACCCTCCGTGAAGTCCTGCCTGAAATACTCCTTGATGTACAGGCACCCCCTTTGTTGATTTTAGCTCCCTGAAGCCAACCCTGTAAGCCGTGTCGTCAGTCGCCCCTCCCTCCGTCAGAGCAACGGCAGACAATCGTTCCGCGCCTTTTTTCTGTGCGGACGCCATACCAAGGCAAGCATGGAGGCCGCTCAGCTCACTTTGGCAATTAGGAGCACATTAAACACCACACGCATTATCCAGCAGTATATGCAGCACCAGAACCTGGCAAAGCGATACCGGGCGAGGAGGTGACGTCAGCGCGGTCACGTGAGTGATCAGGACATGGACACAGATTTCTCTGAAAGCATGGGCCCTGCCAATGCATGCATCATGGTGCTAATGGGGCAGGTTCATGCTGTGGAACGCCGATTCTGGGCTCGGGAAACAAGCACAGACTGGTGGGACCGCATAGTGTTGCAGGTCTGGGACGATTCCCAGTGGCTGCAAAACTTTTGCATGCGTAAGGGCACTTTCATGGAACTTTGTTACTTGCTTTCCCCTGCCCTGAGGCGCAAGAATACCAAGATGAGAGCAGCCCTCACAGTTGAGAAGCGAGTGGCGATAGCCCTGTGGAAGCTTGCAACGCCAGACAGCTACCGGTCAGTTGGGAATCAATTTGGAGTGGGCAAATCTACTGTGGGGGCTGCTGTGATGCAAGTAGCCCACGCAATCAAAGATCTGCTGATATCAAGGGTAGTGACCCTGGGAAATGTGCAGATCATAGTGGATGGCTTTGCTGCAATGGGATTCCCTAACTGTGGTGGGGCTATAGACGGAACCCATATCCCTATCTTGGCACCGGAGCACCAAGCCGCCGAGTACATAAACCGCAAGGGGTACTTTTCAATAGTGCTGCAAGCTCTGGTGGATCACAAGGGACGTTTCACCAACATTAACGTGGGATGGCCGGGAAAGGTGCATGATGCTCGCATCTTCAGGAACTCTGGTCTGTTTCAAAAGCTGCAGGAAGGGACTTTATTCCCAGACCAGAAAATAACTGTTGGGGATGTTGAAATGCCCATATGTATCCTTGGGGACCCAGCCTACCCCTTAATGCCATGGCTCATGAAGCCGTACACAGGCAGCCTGGACAGTAGTCAGGAGCTGTTCAACTACAGGCTGAGCAAGTGCAGAATGTTGGTAGAATGTGCATTTGGACGTTTAAAGGCGCGCTGGCGCAGTTTACTGACTCGCTTAGACCTCAGCGAAACCAATATTCCCACTGTTATTACTGCTTGCTGTGTGCTCCACAATATCTGTGAGAGTAAGGGGGAGACGTTTATGGCGGGGTGGGAGGTTGAGGCAAATCGCCTGGCTGCTGGTTACGCGCAGCCAGACACCAGGGCGGTTAGAAGAGCACAGGAGGGCGCGGTATGCATCAGAGAAGCTTTGAAAACCAGTTTCATGACTGGCCAGGCTACGGTGTGAAAGTTCTGTTTGTTTCTCCTTGATGAAACCCCCCGCCCCTTGGTTCACTCTACTTCCCTGTAAGCTAACCACCCGCCCCTCCTCCCTTCAATCACCGCTTGCAGAGGCAATAAAGTCATTGTTGCTTCACATTCATGCATTCTTTATTCATTCATCACACAAATAGGGGGATGACTACCAAGGTAGCCCAGGAGGGGTGGTGGAGGAGGGAAGGAAAATGCCACACAGCACTTTAAGCACAGCACTTTAAAAGTTTACAACTTTAAAATTTATTGAATGACAGCCTTCTTTTTTTTTGGGCAATCCTCTGTGGTGGAGTGGCTGGTTGGCCGGAGGCCCCCCCACCGCGTTCTTGGGCGTCTGGGTGTGGAGGCTATGGAACTTGGGGAGGAGGGCGGTTGGTTACAGAGGGGCTGCAGTGGCAGTCTGTGCTCCAGCTGCCTTTGCTGCAGCTCAACCATACACTGGAGCATACTGGTTTGGTCCTGCAGCAGCCTCAGCATTGAATCCTGCCTCCTCTCATCACGCTGCCGCCACATTTGAGCTTCAGCCCTGCCTTCAGCCCGCCACTTACTCTCTTCAGCCCGCCACCTCTCCTCCCGGTCATTTTGTGCTTTCCTGCACTCTGACATTATTTGCCTCCACGCATTCGTCTGTGCTCTGTCAGTGTGGGAGGACAGCATGAGCTCGGAGAACATTTCATCGCGAATGCGTTTTTTTTTCTTTCTAAGCTTCACTAGCCTCTGGGAAGGAGAAGATCCTGTGATCCTTGAAACACATGCAGCTGGTGGAGAAAAAAAAAGGGACAGCGGTATTTAAAAAGACACATTTTATAAAACAGTGGCTACACTCTTTCAGGGTAAACCTTGCTGTTAACATTACATACATAGCACATGTGCTTTCATTACAAGGTCGCATTTTGCCTCCTCCCACCGCGTGACTACCCCCTCAACCTTCCCCCCTCCCTGTGGCTAACAGCGGGGAACATTTCTGTTTAGCCACAGGCAAACAGCCCAGCAGGAATGGGCTCCTCTGAGTGTCCCCTGAAGAAAAGCACTCTATTTCAAACAGGTGACCATGAATTATATCTCACTCTCCTGAGGATAACACAGAGAGATAAAGAACGGATGTTGTTTGAATGCCAGCAAACATACACTGCAATGCTTTGTTCTACAATGATTCCCGAGTACGTGTTACTGGCCTGGAGTGGTAAAGTGTCCTACCATGAAGGACGCAATAAGGCTGCCCTCCCCAGAAACCTTTTGCAAAGGCTTTAGGACTACATCTAGGAGAACCGCAAATGCCAGGGCAAAGTAATCCTTTCACATGCTTGCTTTTAAACCATGTATAGTATTTTAAAGGGTACACTCACCAGAGGTCCCTTCTCCGCCTGCTGGGTCCAGGAGGCAGCCTTGGGTGGGTTCGGGGGGTACTGGCTCCAGGTCTAGGGTGAGAAACAGTTCCTGGCTGTCGGGAAAACCGGTTTCTCCGCTTGCTTGCTGTGAGCTATCTACAACCTCCTCCTCCTCCTCATCTTCTTCGTCCCCAAAACCTGCTTCCGTATTGCCTCCATCTCCATTGAAGGAGTCAAACAACACGGCTGGGGTAGTGGTGGCTGAACCCCCTAAAATGGCATGCAGCTCATCATAGAAGCGGCATGTTTGGGGCTCTGACCCAGAGCGGCTGTTCGCCTCTCTGGTTTTCTGGTAGGCTTGCCTCAGCTCCTTCAGTTTCACGCGGCACTGTTTCGGGTCCCTGTTATGGTCTCTGTCCTTCATGCCCTGGGAGATTTTGACAAAGGTTTTGGCATTTCAAAAACTGGAACGGAGTTCTGATAGCATGGATTCCTCTCCCCAAACAGCGATCAGATCCTGTACCTCCCGTTCGGTCCATGCTGGAGCTCTTTTGCGATTCTGGGACTCCATCATGGTCACCTCTGCTGATGAGCTCTGCATGGTCACCTGCAGCTTGCCATGCTGGCCAAACAGGAAATGAGATTCAAAAGTTCGCGGTTCTTTTCCTGTCTACCTGGCCAGTGCATCTGAGTTGAGAGTGCTGTCCAGAGCGGTCATAATGGAGCACTCTGGGATAGCTCCCGGAGGCCAATACCATCGAATTGTGTCCACAGTACCCCAAATTCGAGCCGGCAATGTCGATTTAAGCGCTAATCCACTTGTCAGGGGTGGAGTAAGGAAATCGATTTTAAGAGCCCTTTAAGTCGAAATAAAGGGCTTCATTGTGTGGACGGGTGCAGGTTTACATCGATTTAACACTGCTAAATTCGACCTAAAGTCCTAGTGTAGACCAGGGCTAAATCATCCCAGCCAGGGCTTTGTCAAGTGAGAGATGGAGCCCTTCCCCCCAAACTCCAGCCAAACCCAGCCCCAGTCCCAGAGGCAAACAGTGGGCATGGAGAATGTGCCAGGAGCTTTGAAATCACTGCCCTGGGCCCAGTCTGCAGGTGCTGGGGGTGGGGAGGGTCCCTGGGAACAGCCAAGGGCTCCAGTGGCAGGAGCCGGGTTCTGAGGGAGGGGAGGAGAGAAGGGGGCCAAGTGCCGGATGGGGCGGGGGGTTTTGCCTCTTTGTAATATCTCTCTCCAGTAAAATGCCCTGGAATTTCTTGGACGCAAATATATATTTTAAATTGTGAGTGTTGATCTGTCAGATGAGTTGGATGGTTTCCAGTGAAGCATTCTCCATTTCCACTGAAGTGCAAGGCCAGAGACCTCCCATACAAAGAATGCCGTTTACAATCCTTTCCCTTTGGTCTGTAAGGCTGGCATGGCAGAAATTCTGTGCTGAACAGGATGTGTCAGACACTTGGTTTTTCTCACACACTGTACAAAGGCCTCTTTGGGTTACTGTTGATTTCCTTTCACCCCTCCTGCAGGCTGCAGGGGATGTTGCAGTGTCTTGCAGACGTGACGGGCTCAGGCTCGTCTCCCCACATTTCCATGGCTTAGCCTCTCTTCCATTCGCTATTAAACATGACCAGTGAAATGCTCAGGGCAAAGATGGATTCCTTTGGACAACACTGGGTGTTGAACCACAGTTTCTTACTCGGAATACAGCCTCAGCCCTTTACGGCTCAGGAACTGGGGGGGTTTCCCCCCTACACAAGTGAGTAAATCTGGAGTCAGCTCAGTGCGTCGCAGGATGGAAAAAGCTTAGCTATGGAATGGGCAGGTGGGTGAGCCAGGGTTTGGAAGCCGTAAGAGGAGCTGCCTGTCTGCGGGAGGAACTGGAATCCTGTCTGAGATGTGGCACTCAAGAGGGGAAAGTGAAAGGGAGTGCAAGTGCCCAGCGAAGCCCGTGAGCTCCAGCTGCACTGTGCGTGGTGTGCGTGCCCCCAAGTGCCTCACTGTGCAAAGTCCATACTCGCTGAACCACAGCCCTCTGACACAGGGGCTGGTGCTAGCCAGGGTAGAGACCGCTGTGTCGGGAGCTGAGAGAGCAGGGTTCTTGTCTGGTCACACCCACCCATGGGGGTTTGTGCATGGTTGGTCTGGGCTAGATCGGAGCTGTAGCATGGGGCTTTGTTACCGATGACCTTGTGGTGGCAAAAAGTCCAGATGCAGAGTGTGGGCCCACGGCAGGGATCAGGCCTTGTCCCATCTTGGTATCATCCCACCCTGCAATGGGGCTGAAATAGAGCATTGTGCCCCCATCACAACGCCAGCCCCCCTGAGGCTCAGAGGGAAATGAACCTGCTCAGAGCAGCCTGTAGCTCACAGGGGGAAAAGATTTGCCCAACTGGATCTAAGTTTCTAAAGTCATAATAAAAGTTGGCTCTAGTCAGAATAAAACCAAAATCCTGTACACCCTTCCCAGGACTGGTCAGGCAGGGTGTCGGAATTTGGTTTTATTCTGTTTCTGTACCAGGTCTCCCCATCCCCACACCTCTGCACCCCTCACCCCAGGCCTAGAGATGGCAGCTCCAGCATGGCCGTGTCTCACCGTCCTTCCCTGAGACTGCTGGATGCAGAGAAGAGGGTGGAGCAGAACCCTCCATAAATAGTTACCTACATTTCCCTTTTAGTGGCATTGTTCTGATAAGAAAACAACAAAACCACCAGAGGGAATGCCCGAGGAAGTGAGCAGGGGTGGGCGATGAGAGGCATGCGGGTGGAGAGTGCTCGTCTAACCAATATGCCCAGTCGCTGGCAGTCAGCAATGGAGCATGCTGCTGCAGCGTGGCTGGAGCTGTTAGCGGCTTCCTGTAGCTCGACTCACTCGGAAGGCTTGGATTAACGTAACTGGTGGGTTCCCTTCGCCTCCACACTCCCGTCTCCTCTGCAGTTTATCCTGATGCTTCCCGGATAATGGGAGGAAATAGGAAGCTTCCTCTTTGTCTGCCACAGGAGAGGGGCTGGGTTCAGGGCTCTGTGGGAGAGGCCCACATAAGTCTGGCCTCCCAGCCAGCAGGAGAGAGGGCTACGGTCTGGCTCTCCATGCACGCTGTGTCCATTAGCAGAGCTCAGGGCCGGGAGCTAGGGGCTGGGTGAGAGGAAGGAACCCTCACCAGGGTATGTCTACACTACGAAATTAGGTCGAATTTATAGAAGTCGGTTTTTTAGAAATCGATTTTATATATTCGAGTGTGTGTGTCCCCACAGAAAATGCTCTAAGTGCATTAAGTGCAGTAACTCGGTGGAGCGCTTCCACAGTACCGAGGCTAGAGTCGACTTCCGGAGCGTTGCACTGTGGGTAGCTATCCCACAGTTCCCGCAGTCTCTGCTGCCCATTGGAATTCTGGGTTGAGATCCCAATGCCTGATGGGGCTAAAACATTGTCGCGGGTGGTTCTGGGTACGTATCGTCAGGCCCCTGTTCCCTCCCTCCCTCCGTGAAAGCAAGGGCAGACAATCATTTCGCGCCTTTTTTCCTGAGTTACCTGTGCAGACGCCATACCACGGCAAGCATGGAGCCCGCTCAGCTCACTGTCACCATATGTCTCCTGGGTGCTGGCAGACGTGGTACTGCATTGCTACACAGCAGCAGCAACCCCTTGCTTTGTGGCAGCAGACGGTGCAATAGGACTGGTAGCTGTCATCGTCATGTCCGAGGTGCTCCTGGTGGCCTGTGTGAGGTCGATCAGGAGCGCCTGGGCAGACATGGACGCAGGGACTAAATTTGGAGTGACTTGATCAAGTCATTCTCTTTAGTCCTGCAGTCAGTCCTATTGAACCATTTTATGGTGAGCAGGCAGGTGATACGGATTGCTAGCAGTCCTATTGCATCATCTTCTGCCGGGCAGGCAAGAGATGAGGATGGCTAGCAGTCCTATTGTACCATCTTCTGCCGAGCAGCCATGAGATGTGGATGGCATGCAGTCCTTCTGCACCGTCTGCTGCCAGCCAAAGATGTAAAAGATAGATGGAGTGTATCAAAACAAGATTTGTTTTGTACTCATTTGCAAACCCCCACCCCCCGTCTAGGGGACTCATTCCTCTAGGTCACACTGCGGTCACTCACAGAGAAGGTGCAGCGAGGTAAATCTAGCCATGTATCAATCAGAGGCCAGACTAACCTCCTTGTTCCAATAAGAACAATAACTTAGGTGCACCATTTCTTATTGGACCCCTCCGTGAAGTCCTGCCTGAAATACTCCTTGATGTAAAGCCACCCCCTTTGTTGATTTTAGCTCCCTGTAAGCCAACCCTGTAAGCCTTGTCGTCAGTCGCCCCTCCCTGCGTCAGAGCAATGGCAAACAATCGTGCATCTGAGTTGAGAGTGCTGTCCAGAGCAGTCACAATGGAGCACTCTGGGGTAGCTCCCAGAGGCTAATACTGTCGAATTGTGTCCACAGTACCCCAAATTTGACCCGGCAAGGCCGATTTAAGCGCTAATCCACTTGTCAGGGGTGGAGTAAGGAAATCGATTTTAAGAGCCCTTTACGTCGAAATAAAGGGCTTGTGTGGACAGGTGCAGGTTTACATCGATTTAAAGCTGTTAAATTCGACCTAAAGTCCTAGTGTAGACCAGGGCTAGGTGTGTAGGCCACTCATTCGCAGGTGGGCGCTTGACTTGTTTCCTGGTTAGTTGTGTAGTTTGGCTAGTGAGTACTGACCTATGCACGGCCACCTACCCCCTAACAGCATCTGCTGGGGCCCCCAACATGGGGCACAGGTGTCTCTCCTGCCCTACCCAAAGGAGGTGTCGGGACAGAAACAGCGACAGAGAGTGATGTGGGGGAGGGATAGCTCAGTGGTTTGAGCATTGGCCTGCTAAACCCAGGGTTGTGAGTTCAATCCTTGAGGGGGCCATTTGGGATCTAGGGCAAAAATTGGGGATTGGTCCTGCTTTGAGCAGGGGGTTGGATTAGATGACCTCCTGAGGTCCCTTCCAACCCTGATCGTCTATGATTTTATGATGCAGTGGGAGAGTGGAGGGACAAGGAAGAGCAGACAGGGAAGGACAGCGGGGCTGGTCCAGAACCTGTCCCCCTCCCCCAGCAATACACCCATCGAGCTGAGAGAGCTTTATCGCGCCCGTGCCCGCGGCTGATCTTTATGGACTCTGCAGCCCCAGAGTGGCCAGGGCACATGCAAAGGCCCAGCTCCAAACTTTGGGCAGGCCTGGTCACTGGGCTGCGGTGCCTTACTCCTGTGTCCATGGCAATGGGTACTTCAGCCTGGCGCCAGCCCCAGCCTGGCAGCCACTGGCACCAGGCAATGCCCCACCCCAGAATTGCCCCTTGATTTTGCTCAGCTTTGTGGTGGGTGGGTGGCTCCCCATGCTGTGGAGTTTTCTTGAGGGAGACTCTGAGCTTTGCTCCCAATTCCTGGCTACCCATCTGCTCAGTCCTGCATCTGTCTGGTTCCCAGCCGTGCCCCCAAGGCTGCCTTTGCCCACCTCTTGCCCTCAGCTCTGCGCCCCTGCTGAGGTGTTTGCAGTGACTGCTGCCCCTGCAGGCTTCAGGGAGTGACCAGGCGGAGCAAGCTGCAGGGTCTGTGTCCCTGGCTTCCCCCTCAAGGGTCTCCCTGGGGTCCTTGGCCAGCTCTGTGGGCAGAAAGCAGCTCTCCCCTCACAGCCCAGGCTGGGCAAGGTCCCCTCCCCTGTCAGAAATGCAGCCAGATAGTTTCCCTCCCCTATCTCCAGGACTTGGATGGCCGACCACCCGCCCGCCACTCTCCTAACTATGGAGCTCAGCTGCCTCCCCCCTCAGCTCGTGGATGGAGAGCATCGGCTGTGCCCACCCCACACAAGGGCTGAAGGGGTAAATTAGACCAATTAACCTGTAGACCACATCTGGAGAAGAGCCAGGGGATGCTAAGGCCTAACTTACTGATGAAGCCCAGCTGAGGGAGGAGCTGGGCTGGGTTTATAAAGCCAGAAAGCTGGCAGCAGAAGGGGGCTGCAGTCACTCCCAGGGAGAAGCACTTACAGTGACTCCCTCTGAGGAAGTTAGAGCTGGTTCACCCAGAGAAGAGGGGGACCAGAAGCTGTAGGAAGGAACAGCAAGGGCTGCGGGACAGCAGACCGGTTACAAGGTGCAGAGCCCCGGGAGTAGTGAGTGGCCCTGGTTTCCCTACCAGTTGCTGGGGAAGTGGCACCATCAGGACAGTGTCGGAGAGGACTGCCTGGGACTGGCTGTGTGGAAGGACTTTGGGTAACCCCCAGAAGGGGAACTACGTAGTGACCTGGCCAGAGGGCCGAGTCCGGAAGAGGTGGCTGCAGTTCCTGGAGCGAGGGAGGAGCTGCAGGGTGAAGATACCACCCGTGGAGGGTGCAACGCCTGGCAGAGCTAATCCCCAGGATGGGCAGGAGAAGACACCACCAGCAGTGAGTGCACCCTGGCAACACAGAGACGCTCCCCTGCTGCCCACCAGGCCTGGCACCAAGCCCCCCTCAGCCAGGAGCTAGGGGTAACCAACCAAATCCACGAGCGTGACGAGCAATTTCTGCTGCGTGCCCCAGACAGCGATCAGGGCCCCACTGGACAGTCCCTGCCCAACTGAGCTCATGAGCCATCTCCACGCCTGCTCCTGCTCCCCAGCCCCACTGTCTCTGCGTTGCTTGTTAAGACAGCTGGCACCCGGGACAGGGATGTCAGTACCACAGGTTCAGGGAGCTGGGGGGTCAACCTGCTCCCCACAGCAGGCCTATCTCTGCCCCGCCTAGGAGATCCTGGGTCAGGGATGGGGAAGAGGGAGCAGCCTGCACAGCTCAGGGAGGCTCTGCTCCACCCTCCCTCTGCACCCAGTCATTTCAAGCTGGGGAGGGAGGGAGGAACAGGTCCCTGTTGAGCTGCCCCCTCCTAGGCGGAGGGGAGGGCCTCCCGGGCTGCAGGAGGAGCAGAGGTGGAGAATTGCTGGGGGCTGCAGAGCCAGAGCCGACATCTGGAGTCGAAGGGGCAGGAGAGGCACAGAATCAGCTGATGCGGGGACAGAGTGATGCAGAATGAATGGAAGTAGAGCTGGGGACACAGGCAGGTGGGGACAAAATTAACTCCTTGGCAATTGTGCTTTGCAGGGAGAAGCTAGCAGCCCTCCTGCCATGGCTGTAATTGGTGTGATTTCACCCAAACGGGACATTAACTCTTTTTTTGCTCCAACGCTACTGGCAGGTACGGCAGGGAACTTCTGAGCAGGTCCCTCTCGGTCCCAGCTTCCCCACTCTGTGACCATCTCGCCGTGGACCCAAGGAGATCTCGCCGATTGTTCTCAGCGCCAAGCCTCTGCTTCCCACCCTGGAGGGCTCCTCAGAGACTCCCCAAGACCGGTGTGAAGAAGGAAATGCCCAGCTCACAGCACTAGCCAGGCAAAGGGCTTGAGTTTCGTCTTTAATTACAGAGGGACATTAACATTCAAATGCCCCTTTGCTTGGGGGTCCCCTGCTGTGCCCCCTCCCAGGTGGAGAACAGAGACACCCCACCCCCACC